AATATACTATAGTAGTTTCCACTTGTCTACAAAGCTGGCTAGGCTTCCTGGGACCCTTAAAACCCTGAAAGCACGCAGCAAGCTGCTCCTTAGAGTGTGGGCTGGCCTTGAGCTGAACCTTTTGAGTTTTCGGTGTTCCTTAAACTATCTAAGCCCGAAACCCTAAACAATGTAGCTGCCGCAGCCATTGCTGGCTTCAAGTTTTGGGAGACATTGGCTTTGAGTTCGTGTACATCGCCAAGGTCGAGCGCGACGCACATCGCGGGATTCCCAGAAAGGTCGCTGCATTGAATTTCTTGAAAGGATCCAGGGCCGGATGCCCATGGGCCTGATACAGTCCTCCACAATTTGGTCGTTTTCATTTTCTTCTCCTTTCGTTGAATCTTCCAGCGAGCCGAGAAAGACCCATGAGCGCGTGATTTGTTGGGACGTGGAAAGATTCTAGAGTTTCACAACTGTGCTATAAGAATTTTTGGAATGAGGATGATTCAACGATTTGCCTCAGTTTTCCCTGTTGTTGCAGAGCTTCTTACGTCTGAGTACGAGTCGGTGGCTTGGTTTGTGACATTCACCCCGCTGTTCCGACAGTTCTGCCTTTCATGCTTGTCATGTTGGTTTTGCAACAGATGCTTGCAACCCTAATCCCTAAACCATGCTGCCGCAGCCCAACCCCGAAGCTGCAGCCCTGAACGCAAACTTTTAGATCCTGTACGGCAAGCCCGAAGCCAAAGCCTAAGCCCTCTACCACAGGTGCCGGCGATGGGTAAGTTCCGGCTCATTGAGCTGGTACGAAACGTTGTTGCAACCAGTGTTCTAGGTTCCATCCCGCTAAGGTTTAGGGCTTACTGCTCAGGGCTTTCATGAATGGAGGGGCCCTCAATATAGACCTCAATATACCAGAACCCTAATCCTAGTTGTAGGAAGCAAGACGAGACCTGTCCGTATTGGACTAGAAATTCTCGTGGTAACAGAGGAGGAATCTGCATCAATAGCAGCAGAGACGAGCACAACTGGTATTAGGAGGAGTAGGTTTGAGGATCGGAATAGCAGAGGAGTATTCGTGCCAAGAAGGGTTAGGAGGAGTGAAGAAGTCAGAGTACATAGCGGTAGCTGAACAGCAGTACGCGGTAGAAGAAAAGGTACTAATAGAAGCAAGGTAGATATAGCAGTAGCAGTAGCAGTTGGAGGCTGCTCAGAGGTAGCAGTGGAAGTGGTAGTGGAAGTAGCAGTAATAGGATGCAATAGGAGCAGATGCAGCAGCAGGAGTATTGGTTATAGTACTGAATTTATACTGGAAGAAGAAAATGTACAAGCTGTCAGAAGACAGTCAGTTGTCATGCCCTTGATAGTTATTTTTCCGCCCGAGAACTATGATCCTGTTGAAGACGCCTTGGGCAGAAGCTCGGAAAAAGAGGACTCAAATCTTGTTTGGGATGCTGTTATCCCGGATTACAGCAGGGCTCAGTATCCTTGATGGCCGTGCCCAGGACCATGCATGTGCGTCCTACCGGAAGTCAGCACTCCGGATCGCAGGTATCGGGTAAGAGTCTTGTGCCGTTCGTAGATTTGTCTTTTCGGCTATTCGAAGCCCTAAACCCTTGCAATGGTCCGTCTTGGCTGGAGGATCCCCTTCCGTGAGAAGATCTTGTGGACGGGCATCTCTCTGTTCGTCTTCTTGGTTTGCTGTCAAATTCCGACGCTTGGCTGGTGGTGTTTAGGGTTTACGGTTTAGGGTTTTGGGTTTGGGGTTTAGGGTTTAGGACTTAGGGCGTGCATCAGTGGACGCGCCCGGCGGCGCGCCTTTTCTTTAGAGTTAGGGGCGCGCACTTTATTGCACGCTTATGCAGCTTGGTAGTCCCACCCCAGCCACCCAAACTATGCTCATATAGGCTTCAGGGTTCCTAGCCCCCAAACCCCCGTAGCAAGGGGGGCTTCCTTATTCTTTTTTCTTCTTCCCCAGGTTTGGTGTTCACTCCTCGTCACGCCGCCGCAGAGAGCACTCTCAACTCTCAGAATTTCAGGAAAAAGGATTTGAGCAACGCATAGGGGTAGCGAGGCCTCCACATATGGATCTCTTGGGTTGATGTACAGGATGGAGCCTACAAAGCCTTTTCAAGTGCAAGCACCTAGAAATTCTTGGGAACCCTGAAAGGCCCTGTGAGACCTTTAAACAGAGCTGGGCTACCTTGAAAGTTTCAAGCGTGGCAGGCTTTGGTCCTGGAAGGCCTGAAGGCTATGTAGGTGCCCTTTGGTAGGCCTTGGGAGGCTCTGGGAGGCCCTGGGCTCTGAGGCTAAAATCGATAAAATGAGCCTCGGGCCGCGGCTGGGGCTTGGGGCCTATGGAGAATTAACCCTAAACCCTGAATGGTCCCACGTTCTTTTATAAGAGCTATGCTCCATAGTAGACAGCGCTGCCGGAGGGGCCCCGGGGGTTGTCTTGGGAGGCTTTACCTTGCCAGGCTTCGATATGGTGCCAGGCCAAGGGCCTGTCCCGAGAGGCTCGAGCGCCCAAAAGGGATACTAGGAGTTTAGACTATGGCTCATGGGAATTTCTAAGGCTGTATGGCATCTCGGCCAACAAGTCCACCGTTGCTGGGTAGCAAGCTGTCGCTATCACTGATGCCTTTTGGCGGTCGGAGTGCTTTTGCTGTTGTTGTCAATGTGTGTATTGTAGCTGCAAGAGGATCCCTTCTACTGGATGCGCGTCATCCTTGCGTCGAATCGCGGGACCCTGAGTTGCTGTTAAGTTCTTTAAATTAAGTCACTATACTGGGGGAGCCATATTCATTTGTATGTATATATATATATATCTACGCCCATCATGGCAACGTAATTTAAGTACCCTAAACCCCAAACCCAAAACTCTAAACCCTGACAGCAGCGCAGGACCTTGATGGAGCTGGGCATCTCTCCCATTGTGACCTCAGGACAGTGCTAAGCCGATGAACCCCAAATCCGACATGAACTCTAGTCTAAGCCTAAGCTCCTTAAAGGAGGGTTATCTAGGCTTAAGGGTTTAGGATTGGAATAGGATTCAGCGTCTCAGCTCCTTTAAGGGAGGTTCTATAAGGTTTAGGGTTTAGGGTCTAAACTCCTTAAAGGCGGTTAAAAAGGGCTTAGAGTTTAGGATCTAAACTTTTTAAAGGGGGCGATATAGAGGACTATAGAGGGTTCCTATTAAAGGGGGATACTAGGAATTTAGACTGTGGTGGCTCAAATTTTTTCTGATATCGGAGTTTCCCAAAGTCGGGGAAGTTCCTGTTGAAATTATCTACCCCGCGAAGTGCTACGGTCCTGATTCTGGGGATGCTCTCAAAAAATTGGGGTTTAGGATTTAGAGTTTAGGGTTTAGGGTTTATCTAAATCATGGACCCTATTTTTGGCAGGCATGGTCATGCAGTTGCTGGCGGGGTCCAAGCTCTTGGAGGTCGACCAGTCTGTCAAGGACCGCAGCATGTGTGAAGCAGCAGCACGTTGCAGGACTAAATGAGTGGTCTTGCGGAACCTAAGAATAGGGGTATAACGGGATTGCTCCGGGATATAATAGACTGCCTAACTCCCCGGTCCTTCAATGTTGAGGTAAGTGCGACTCAAGACCACCCTAACTTAACCCATGTGATTCAAGAACACCCTAAACCCAAACCCTAAAATTCTAGAAAACGCAATTTAATTTCAGCAAACCACTGCTTCTGCAGCTCTTATGGGGCTGTGTCAGGAAGGCCATTTGTCAAACCATGAATATTTGCGATGTATTTTGATGTAGTCTAAGTTCAAACGAATGATTATTCATGATTGGGGGGCTGGGTATGTTTACATTGTAGGGGGAGGGAATTACCAACCGTACGTCAGGCGAGGTGTTGTGTCCCGCCGATGCTTCTAACACGGAAGGTGGCAAACAAAGTTCGAGTGCTTTCAAAGAAGACATAGACCCCAAACCTAGATACAATAGTAGTTTTCACTTTCCTTACCATTATACATACCTTATACAGCCCCTATAAAGTTTTACCACTTTCCGACCAATCGCCGGAAGGAGGTCGAGGGCCGGGGGGCCCAAGGCTAGGGTACGGCAGCAGTTACTTGCAATCCGTGAACTAAGTATGTCTCCTACATATGAGCTGTAGTCTAAATTCCTTAAATGGAGCCTTTTGGGGATTAAATAGGTGAGTATTTTAGGGGTTATTAATGGGGTTGCTAGGGCTCATCTGTGCCTCTTCTTTGCTGGAGTTTCAACCCTAAACCCTAAGCCCTAAGCCCTAAACCCTAAACCCTAAATCCAACCCGGTGGTCTGTCTGGGGTGAGCTTCGTCTTGGCTCACATTTTCTGGAATCTCAAAACTTCGGCGGTTATACAAACTTTGAAGGACACCCCAACCCTTAGGGTTTAGGGTTTAGGGTTTAGGGTAACTCTAAACCCAAGCCGTGCCTCTATGTGAGCTGTAGTCTAAGCTCCTCGTATCCCCCTTAATAAGCCTCATAATGTTCCGCTAAATAATCCCCATCGAACCCCCTTTAAGGAGTTTAGACCCTAAACCCTATTTATATAACCCTATAGAACCTTATATAGTCCCTTATATAGTCCCTTATATAGTCCCTTATATAGTCCCTTACATAGTCCCCTTCAAGTTATTTAGACTGTAGCGCATGCTACCCCATGGTTTCAGGAGGATCGAATGCTCTTTCAGGCGGCCCAAAAGCTCTTCGGCATGGCGTCTCAACTGAGTAGTAGTTTAATTTGGGGATACTATGGTACCCATTATAGAGTAAGATTATATCCTCCTTTTGGGGTATAGTATTTTATATGAGGAATATTATCTTGCTTGGTTTAACCACCAAAAAACACTACTCAACTGCACTTTGCTGCTTTGCTGGGTTTTGAGGGCTTAGGGTCTAGGGTTTAGGGTCTGGGGTTAGGGGTTTACGGTTTGGGGTTTAGGGTTTGGGATTTCGGGTTTAGGGTGTAGGGTTTGGGTTTTAGGTTTAGGGTTTAGGTTGTTACTTGGAGTCTTGGAGGCCCAGTTAGTTGTAACTTTTATACTAGAACTCAATGATATGACAGGGCTATTGAAGACAAATGGTATGGCGCGCATCAAGCAACAGCAAAGATATCTTGCAAGCTGCCCAGGATTTTGAAAATAGGCGCGAAACGGTTAGAAATCGCACCTGAAGTGCAGAAAAAGCGTCTTCGTACTGTCAGAAACTTAACAGCGACCCAGTACAACAAGTGCAGTTGTAGTAGTAGTAGTAGTAGTAGTAGTAGTCGTAGTAGTAGTCGTAGTAGTCGTCGTCGTCGT